GGATTCAATGATTCACTCTGGGATTCAATGATTTAATCTTAGGATTCAATGATTCAATCTAGGATTCAATTATTCACTCTATGATTGAATGATTCAATCTTAGGATTCAATTATTCAATCTTAGGATTCAATGATTCACTCCATGAATCAATGATTCAATCTAGCATTCAATGATTTAATCTTAGGATTCAATGATTCAATCTATGATTTAATGATTCAATCTTAGGATTCAATGATTCAATCTATATTCGCAGAAACGTTTTTAAAGTCATGTTTCTCGAGTAAATGGATGATGTTTCTTGTTTCTTGAATGTTTCTTGAATAGAGATGACGTACTTTGATGTGTACAGGCCTTTTGTAGAGTTCTTATGTACTTCTCATCCAACTCAACAGCAAGCTCTTCTTAATTCTACATCAGCTGAGCAAATTCCATGCTTGTGTCATTGTATAGAAAATTTCACATACTCTAAAGAAAAGAAGGACAAACTCAGATTTGGGATTGGTTCTTAGACCACTTTTAGAAGGTGATTTTCGATGATGACTTCCTTTCGTAAAAAGATCAGAAATAAGTGTATATTTGCCAGACTGAGCCATAAGGTCGTCCAGTATGATCAAATTCCGTTGCGATACGTCCAAGTAATCTGCGTTGTCGATATCGTCGGGGATGCCTTCATTAAATTCGATTCCAGGCATCGTCCTCATCATATTAAAATAGTTAAAATAGGACGTTTGCCATTGACCATAACACCAGATGATACGTTGAGGAGGCGGACTTATAGTTTTCTGTTCATTCTCCAAGAGAGATTTCACCCATACAGTCTTACTGCTTTGGGTACATCCTGCAACGATGCATGTAAATTGGTGTTGCATGACTGTAACTCCATTCACCGTAAGAGTTTGTTGGCCAAGATTACGATTTCCATATGCATGGACAACCTTCTTGTGGCGAAGGAGATTACTCGCATTTGCAAATGTTTTACCGCAGATGTCGCATTCATAAGACATGTTTACTTCTCAAGAGTAAGAGTAAAATTATTTAAAGCAAGGGTGAAGAGGTATATTTATCCCGTTGGCCATTGTCATGACTATGAAGACTGTGGTGATGACTATTAAGACTATTGTCATGACTATTAAGACTATAGGCATGACTATTAAGACTATGGTGAAGACTATTAAGACTATAGTCATGACTATTAAGACTATAGTCATGACCATTAAGACTATGGTGAAGACTATTAAGACTATGGTGATGACTATGAAGACTATTGTCATGACTATGTAGACTATTGTCTTGACTATTAAGACCATAGTCAAGACTATGAAGACTATTGTCATGACTATGGAGACTATTAAGACTATAGTAAAGACTATTAAGACTATATTCATGACTATTAAGACTATAGTAAAGACTATTAAGACTATAGTAAAGACTATTAAGACTATATTCATAACTATTAAGACTATTGTCATGACTATTAAGAATATAGGCATGACTATGAAGACTATAGTAAAGACTATTAAGACTATAGCAAAGACTATTAAGACTATAGTAAAGACTATTAAGACTATATTCATGACTATTAAGACTATAGTAAAGACTATTAAGATTATCGTAAAGACTATTAAGATTATATTCATGACTATTAAGACTATAGTCATGACATTCCGTTGCTGACCGCCGAACAGAGATGACTAGCAGTTATATCAAATACAGACCGTTTGTGGAGTTTTTGTGTAACTCATCCAATCCAATTCAACAGCAAGCTCTGTTGAATTATGCATCTCATGAACAGATTCGCTTTCTATGTAATTGTTTGGAAAACTTTACATATCCTAATGGAACATTGAACAAACTTGGTCCATTTAAAGATGATCTCGCTGACTTAGCAGTAGGAGTTTTAGAAAGAAAAGGAAAATTCTTGTTCAGCGCGTGAGTGGTTTTCTAGGATTGCTACTTGCGCCACTTTTAGAGGGCCTTGCAGAATTAGTATAAAATAAGCATCATTAATTCACATCGTCATTCCAACCATGGACAGCAAGGAAAGATCATCTCCGAGACATTGGCGTGTTGAAGATATACTTGGACACTTAAACGATAATGTTGATAAAAACAATGCTGGAGAACTTCTTCACTGCATTCTCACACCCACGGATATTCTCACATGGAATCTTCAAGGGGAAATTGTATACAAGGGACAGAATATACGTGGAACAAATATTGTAGATATTTTGCAATATACTATTTTACCATATAATACTGAAATTCCAGAAACGGCTGGACTGAATATATTTCTTAAAGGTCTTGCAAAATTGGAAATTGATAAAAGCCTAATCGTAAATGGTCGACGTGTCCTTACAATGTTAGCTCACAAGCAGCCACTACATCATGTGGATGCGAAGATGAGTCTGAAGACATGGACACAACTTGTAACAGTTGTAACAAAGATTTTGTTCAATTTAGTTTATAATTTTAATAGAAATCTTCGGAAAACAATATAAACTTTATATTTACACCTCGAGTACACAAACGTGAACGTAACACAGACGTACAAAACCTGAGCCCGCGATAAACAACGCGGTTATTAATAAGAACACAGCTAACCCAATATAATGTTATCAATTAAAACGTTAAAACGTTTCTAAACTGTTGAGTGCTATTTACAACACTCCCACTCACTCAATATGTCCTTGTATCAGTCCCAACGTACATCGCAGATACTCAAATTGTCCTTTGGATAGTGATCGTCGATCATCTGAGTCAGAAGCCCAATCTGCGTCAGAGTATCCCTCTACATTAGCATCGGTTTCTTGGTACTGCAGGCGTAGCTGAGCAGTTCCTTTCAAATACCGAAAAACGCGCTTGACCGCTGTTAGATGTGCCTCCGTCGGTGATGAGTTGAATTTAGCCAATGCTGCCACTGCGTAGGCTATGTCTGGACGAGTAGCTATCGCCGCGTATATCAAACTGCCTACCATTGACTGGTACTGAACGACATCCACTGGTTTGCTATATCCATCGTCCTTAACCAGTATTGTAACGAGTCGAGTCATTGACTCGGACTCGAGTCGAGTCGAGTTGCTATTTTTAGCGACTCGAGTCCAAAACGAAAAATGACTCGACTCGAGTCAACAGCGCCAAATGACTCGACTCGGACTCGACTTGCTGATTTTGCCGTAAATGACTCGAGTCAACTCGGCTACAACTTGTAGAGAATAAATTCATCAAAAATATTGTGATTGTATTGCTTGGGAAGAACAATGAGCCCTGTGAACAATGGGAACTTCGAAACTTTATCAGAAAATATATGGGATTTGCATAGTATATTCCTGACGGGCATGCCTATATTACATTCCTGTTTTTAGAAACAACGCTAGTGCCACAGTTTTTAAAATGGAGTCTCAAAATTTTTTGTATAACTTATACTAATTCTGACCGGCTATATTGGTATTTATGATGTGCTATATAATTTCAAATTAACTTACAAAACATGGTTAATTAAAGTCTATTCAGTTGTTAATTCTGACTCCAGTTGCAAATTATGCTAGTTGTATATACGTACACTCGATCAGCAGGCATGATGAGACATCTCATGTGGTTGTACTTAATATTGACTAGAACTGTGATATTGGTACAGCCAATGGCTGACCAGATACTGTTATTACATGACTAAAGTGATTAGCTTAAAACGTAGATTTGATTATTAATTTCAAACTGCAAGCTAAGGTAGCGAACCATTACAAAAAGCGTGAGGTGGACCATTCTCGTCCCCAGAGCCATTTTTACTCGGTCACTCGTTGAAAAGTAGGCTGTGAGTTAGGCGACTAAAACGAGAGATCTGATTGGCTTCTCAGAGAAATCCTATTTTGCAGAAGTTGAGCAGATATAGCTAGGAAAAATTATTCTATCAACATATGACAACGCAAATACTTCGTTTCTTCGTAGTACTTCACTTTGAAAATTGTTACGGGTGTTAAAGTGTCCAATTCAAGACCATGCGCTTTAGAAACTACTGCAAGTTTACTTAGACTTCCGGTTCCGTATGTTCCAGGGTCTAGGGAGGACGCGCGCGGCCGAGAAGCCCTGGGGACAAGGATTTGGGTGGACTTGATCAAATTCCCTGACTCAAGTTAAGTTAGAGTTATAAACCGAGAAGGAGGTTTATAACTGTTATATTGCCCCCGAGGACGCGTAGCGTCCGAGGACAATATATCAGTTATAAACCGACTTTCGAGGTTTATAACTAACTTATATCTCATTTGTGAAGGTTTTCTAACATATTTTGTCATTTTCAAAAATTTTTGATGAAAAATTCTCGCGTTTTGTCGAAAAGTTTGATGTAATTACTTATTCAAGGTATATTAGCTAGTTATAAACCTCGGCACAAATGAGATATAAGTCTAGCTATTGACTCGACTCGACTTGAACCAATGAGTCGACTTGACTCGAGTGAAACTGCTGACTCGACTCCAGTGAAGCCACTGACTCGACTCGACTCAATCAGAAACAGAAATGACTCGACTCGTGACTCGACCTTTGAGTGACTCGACTCGACTCGTGACTCGACCTGTAGGTGACTCGTTACAACACTGTCCTTAACTAGTTTTACGTTAAGATCCATTGGCGTTGACACCGTTTTGCAATCTTGTAAGTTGTACTTTCGCATAATCTTACCGATGTACTGTTCTTGACTGATTTGCAATACACCGTCCTTTATAGTAACACTAACTCCTAGACAGTAGTGGAATACACCCAGATCCTTCATCTTGAAGTGGTTTGCCAGACTGGTCTTGAGATCGATCATCTCTAGTATCCGTTAAAAGTATCAGGTCATCAACATGAACAGTAACAATCGTCAGCTTATCCTTGAGGACACGAATGAATACACATGGATCTGCAACACTCTAAACAAATCCCAATGATAACATAAATTCTTTGAAGACGTTATTCCAACAGCGTGGGCTTTGCTTTAGGTCATAAAGCGAATTCTTGAGGCGACACACTAGCCCTTCTTGCAAACTGCTTCTGCCCAGAAAGCTTTGGACTGTCCAGCATGCAGAATCATAGAGAGAGCTGCTTCTTGAAGTGTTCGGCTCATGCGCTCAGCTACCCCATTCTGCTGGGGTGAATATGGCACCGTAGTCTCATGGCGAATTCCTTTCTTCTTTAGAAAATCTTGGAACTCGGTGGATGTGTATTCACCACCATTGTCTGTCCGTAGTGTCTTAATCTTGCATTCTGCCTGGTTTGCCACGGCTGCCTTCCACTCCTTGAATTTTACCAGCACTTCAGACTTATACTTCATTGGGTAAACAGTGACACATCTGGAGTAATCATCGATGAAGGTGACGAAGTACTTTGCACCTCCAAAGCTTTCAGTCTTCATCGGTCCGGCAACATCACTATGGACCAACTCTAACCTTCTCGTTGACTTAATTTCTCCCACTTGCTTAAATGGCGCTCGATGAGCCATTCCTTCCGCACAGGCCTCGCAAAAACTTAACTTGCCAGTTCTAGGTATGTCCGTACCTGTGATAAGTTCCTTTGAAGTCATGATTTTCATTTGACCGGCATTTAAATGCGCCATTCTTTGGTGCCATAGATCCAATTTGCCACCAGTTTCATTAGCAATTGATGCTCGGTTTCCATGTTTGTCAACTTTGCAATCAAGACGGTACATGCTCTCAACAAGTCGACCACGTGCTATAACTTGTCCCTTCGAATCCTTAATCCAACAGAGGGTGTGACCAAATTGGACCACCTTGCCTTTAGATGCTGCTGCACGTACACTAAAAAGATTTTTGGCTAATTTTGGAACATAGAGTACCTTTGTTAGAATTGATTTCCGTTGATCTTTCTCTTTATTTCCAAGTATCATAGTGATGTCTACTTGTCCATATCCGTACGCATTAACAGAACGACCATCACCAAGAGCAACAGGTTCTGGTTCAGGGAATTGACAATAATTTACCACTAAGTCACGATTGGCAGTCATGTGCTGCGAAGCACCGGAGTCGATTATCCAACAACTATTCCCTTCAGCTGCAATCAATCCTACTACGAATACATTACCCCCAGAATCCTCGTTCCTTTTCCCATCAGCATCTGCTGGAGTTGCTTTATGTTTGTATGAATTTCCCTGTTTATTTTTGTTTTCATGCTGCCCTTTCTTTCTTTTCGGACAATTTCTGATCACATGATTCTCTTCCCCGCATCCAAAGAACTTGATGGGCTTTCAACTTGTCTTTTCATGCTGTAAGGCAGTTTCACCCTTTTCGACTCGACCACCACCATCTTCGCCCTTGTATTGGTCACGTTTTTCTTCTTCACTCATGAGTGCTTGATGCACTTGAGTTAGGCTAAGATCGTCTCCTTTTGCAGTCAATGCAGTTATTAGAGTGTTATATGATCGTGGAAGGCTGAGTAACAGGGCTACGATATGTTCATCTTCAGGAATAGGCGCCTTGATGGCTACCAGTTGGTCAGTAATTTCTTTCATGCGGCGTAGATGATCATCGAGGGAATCACAATCTTTCATTTTCAAAGAAAAGAATTTCTGCTTCGAAAACAATTTGTTTGCTACAGTGTTTCTTTCAAAACGTTCCTTCAGTTTGTCCCAAATTTGCTTTGGCGTTTGGCATTCAGTAATGAGATGTAATACTTGCCAATTTTTAACTCCCTCTAGTTTGTCGATAAATAACTTGTCTTCTTGTGGAATTTTGAACGTTTAAATCCAGCAGAAATTTCTTTGATTAATAACTCGCAGTTCAGAGAGTGTCTGGGCCCATAACCTGTTCAATTTAAAACAGTAGCGATTGATACACCGGGTGGAAAGCGTAATTTAAAAATGAAAATTAAAGCCCAGCAAATGACTTTCAGACAAGACATAACAGAATATAAAATTTATTGGCTAACGTTTCGTTGTATTGTTCACAACATCTTCAGAGCGATTAAACTTATTTACAAGCGTGTATTATATATATACAAATAGTTTCAAACGGTTACAGTATTCAAATAAGCGAATAAGAGGAAGGATGAAAAACAACCTGTCATTAAAAGCAATAGTATTAGTAAATTAAAGAAATAATGGTTAGTAATTAGAGCACCTAGCAAAGCATTAGAAAAGGTCAAGAGGAGTTGACCTAATGTTAGCATTTAAAGTAGGATTAAGCTTGGATATGAAAAGGCTTTCGCGAATGAGTAGATCTGCTTCAGAACTAGCAGTGGAAAGGATTTTAAAATCAGAGGGTGAAATTGAAGTTTAGTGGTATGTATATGAGCGAGTATGCCTGACATGGTTGAAACAGAACGTTTCTTTCCAGTCAAAGGTGAAACACCCATGTGTTCAGAGATACGCGTGTGTATGTGTCGGCGAGTTTGACCAACATACAATGCACTACAGCATTGACACTTATACAAATACACCACATGTGATCTCAGATCACCGGGAATTTTGTCCTTAAATGGAAAGAAATTGGAAGGACGGAAAGAAAGACGAAAGACGACACGTAAAGAAATGTGTGGATAGGCAGAAGAAAGAAATTTCTGAAGTTGTGATCGAATTTGCAAACCATGATGACCAGTGAAAGGAAGACAAAAATATATAACCTCTTTCGAGCAAGTATGAACTTTATCACGAGAATTATACATTTTATCAAGAAATGATTTGATACAACTATCCACAAGTGTTGCAAGATAACCATTAAGAGAGAAGGTTTTCTTGAATTTTTCCATTTCCGAATGGAAAAATAAATAAGAAGAGCAAATGTTGAAATAACGAGAGATAAGTGAGAAAAGTAAACCTTTTTTGTACAGCATTGGAATAAAACTGTCAAAATTGGTAAACAATCCCGTGGAAGTAGATTTATGATGAACCGTGGTAGCGAAAGAACCGTTAGAACGAATGACTTTGACGTCTAGAAAAGGAAGGCACGAATTACTTTCAAGCTCATGAGTAAATTGAATGTTGGGATGTTTCGAGTTGAGATAGGAAAGGAAAGGAGTAACATGGTCGCGTGATGTGAAAATAAGAAAACAATCATCAACATACCGACGGTAGAATATAGGCTTAAAAACAGAAGGGCAGTCAGCTAACCAGGATTTTTCATGAAAAGATAGGAATATGTTAGCAAACAATGGGCCTAAGGGTGAACCCATTGCTACACCATCAACCTGCTTGCATAGAACACCATCAAATAAAAAATGGCAATTTTTCACAGAAAGATTTAAGAGTTCTCCAAATTGATCGCGAGAGATGGCATGATAGTGTGTGGCACTAGCAAAGCATTTATTAATGATTATATCAATAGTTTCATCTAATGGTATGTTAGTAAAGAGAGACTTAACGTCAAAACTGGCCATTATGACATCATTAGTATTAATTTTTAACTCACGTAATTCCGTAACAAATGTAAAGGTGTCATTAATTGTAAAAGTGTTAGTAGAGAAGGGACGGAGAAGTGGAACAAGAAATTTAGCAAGTTTGTAGGAGTGAGTACCTATAGAAGAGATTATAAGTCTAAGTGGGAAATTAGGCTTATGGACTTTAGGTAAACCATACATAATACCTGGTCGCGAGCCAATAGGATTAAGTTCTTTACTTAAATGTTCAGAAATTATTTCGTTAGATTTAAGTTCGTTTATGAGAGTTCGGACAGCGTCTTCACGGCGAGTGGTTTCTTTATAAATATTTGATTTCTTAAGATCAATTCGTTCAAACTTAGTGTTATCGTCAAGAATGTTAAGCATTCTTGAGTTATAATCCGTGCGGTTGATAATGACAACTCCATTTCCTTTATCTGGCTTGATGAGAAAAATGTTGTTGTCCTTCTGGAGTCCTTCAATTATCTTGAACTCGTCATAATTATTTAATTTAGTTTATAATTATTCATAATTATTAAATATAATAATATATATAATATAATATATATAATATAATATATATAATATAATTAGTCATAATTATTTAATTTAGTTTATAATTTTAATAGAAATCTTCGGAAACAATATAAACTTTATATTTACACCTCGAGCACACAAACGTGAACGTAACACAAACGTACAAAACCTGAGCCCGCGATGAACAACACGGTTATTAATAAGAACACAGCTAACCCAATATAATGTTATAAATTAAAACGTTAAAACGTTTCTAAACTGTTGAGTGCTATTTACAACAGATTTACACATCTCCCATTTGGGTACATGCCCTGTATGCGCATGGACATATTTTTATCCCAATTGTACAAGGTGTCACTGTATGATCTGTGATTTTCGACTGTCAGAGGGATATTTCACCCATGTGATCACCAGTTGCTCATATTGTCATTGTGATGAAGTTATGGATGTTAGTACTGATAAAAGACATTTTTTGAGCATAAAACAGACGAATAAAGTGATATTTGATCAGTTGACTGTGTGAAGTTGAAGCGAACACATCAATATGCCGAGGGGTACACTTGTTGTAGACGAAAAACTATTGAGAGACCATTTCTTGAGACAACAACGTGGTGGAAACATCGCTTGGTATCGCGGTGCACGTTTTCAAAGAGGCTATGGGATCGGAGGTATTTTCAAGAGTCTTGCGAGATAAGCTATCCCTCTATTCAAACAAGGTGCTAAAGTTGTTGACAAAAGAGCATTGCAAGCAGCCACAGAAGTCCATCAAGATGTACTCCAAGGAAAAAATGTCAGAGAATCTGTTAAAGACTCACGGAGGAAAAGTTGCAAGAAGCGAGCAAGTGAGCAAGGAGCAAGGACTCTTCTGCGTCAAACGGGGCATGGCCGCAAGAGAAGGCGAAGCGAGTCAACGCAGTAATCTTTTATCTGTCAAGAAGCAAAAACTGGAAGCCCCAAGAGTTACCAAATGGATAACGGATGATGAAAGCAGTCACGTTGATGAAAGTAGCTACGCGATGACGAATCGGATAGTGAAACGTCTCAAACAAGTGACGATATATATATATACCTAACCCGCCCGCCTGATTAGTGTACAAATATGTTGTACATTAATATATGCATGCACCCAAGCGTCGCTAATTAATGACTGGCAACACATAACAACGTATATAACGACCGAATATTTGATAAAAACATATTTTTATGGCAAAATATATATCACAACTGTTCTAAAAGGTTTTTCCTTCAAGTATTCTTGATAAACTTTCTTAATATGATCATGTTCCCAATACCAAAAATAGTTCAATATACATTGTAGTTCATGACTCTCAATTCGAATATTAAAACGCTCCCGAAATTTGTACGGACGCCTAGCTATTGTCATTTGATGCGTAGGTACTAAAGTAAGGAACGACCTACAACCACCTACAACGACGCTACAACGATCTACAACGACGTACAACCACCTACAACGACGCTACAACGATCTACAACGACGCTACAACCACCTACAACGACGCTACAACCACCTACAACGACCCTATAGCAATCCTACAACGACCCGTCTCGCGTATGTATTAAATATTTGCTGTGAAGCAGCATGCCATGTCGCACGGTAAATTACAATTTGGCGCGAAGTGCCGAAGTGTCCCGAAGTAAATGAAAATTTATAAATATCATCACTCAAAAGTTGTGATCGCCATAATCTGCGATCAGGCCTATATATAGGTTAACAATAAATAAATAGGCCTCAAACGTATTTCGATTGTAAATCTGATTTGTCTATGAGACAAAAGTTTTTTAATCTGTCATTTGATTGGTTGGTGCGCATTGCCCCAGTGCTGATATTGAGAGAGTACAAAAGAGAGCGTTATCAATCATTGACCCGAGTAAAGCCTATGATGCTAATATGGGCCGATTGGCGGTTTAACCACCTTACATATAACAGACGTCAGAAACTCTGCGATAACCAGTTTGAAAGAATTTCAGTACCCTTGCACAAACTCTTCAGTCTTTTACCGCCAAGACATGGCCCCAATCTAAATCTTCGTAAGCACCATGAGTATGATCTTCCACGAATTCACACGGACAGATTCAGACACTCCTTCATCCCAGCAACGTGTGCGAAAAAGTTTTTAAAGACGTAATTTTAACATTTAACTTACAACTCTAAGACCTAATTTTAACTTTTTTTAGTTCCTAGTTTGAGTATTCTTATTGTAATATATATTAATCATTACATAGTTTAACTTTTGACATTTCCAACACATGTAATATTCAAAATACGCAATTCAGCCGGTTGGCTGCTATGTAATTTTTCTTTTAAATAAAATATCTATCTATCTATCTATCTATCTATCTATCTAGATTATACTATTCTTGTTGATATGTTTTACTATATTAGATCGTTGTTGTTGTTGTGTGAAATTTAAATTTCTCCTGCGACAGTTTGAATATAAACTTTGCTCAGGCTATTATTTGTAAAATAGAACCTGACACTTAGGTTATGATCGCCATGCATCGCGACGTTCAACATAGGTCGTTGTAAGTCGTTGTAGGGTCGCTATGTAGATCATTGGAGGGTCGTTGTAGATCGTTGTAGGTCGTTGCAGGGCCGTTGTTAGACTTTCCAAAGTCCGCGGTTCGTGGTTCCTGGAAGCGACGGACTTTTGTCACCCGCAAGCGCGCCAAATTCACCGGTGCATTTTTGCGCCGGTGATGTCAGTGAATGCTCATTATTATTCTGTACTAACGACGCCAAAACAATAATGAACTAGTGAAAGCGACATGGTGAACGCCCACTATGTCATAATTGATTTTCCCGCCAAAATTTTCAGTAAGATTCAAAATCAGGCAAGTGACACAAGTCGCTCGCTTCCGTCTTTCTCAAGCGCTCCCTTCTTGCTACGCGCGGTCCCTAGCGAGCGACTTGGGCAAGTCTAGGCCGTTGTAGATCTTTGTAGATCGTTGTAGGGTCGTTGTAGATCGTTGTAGGTGGTTGTAGATCGTTGTAGGCTCGTTGTAGGTGGTTGTAAATCGTTGTAGGCTCGTTGTAGGTCGTTCCTTACTAAATTTAGTACCTACGCATTTGATGGCGTGGGACGCGAAAAATTGCTGAGCTGAGCGAAAATATTGACTCACGACCGCCCGTAATAATATCCATTTATATCCCACGACCACGACCGCCCGTAATAATATCCATTTATATCCATTAGAACCCTATTGCTTATATATTATTCAAATTCATTATTCGTATCGCCTTAATCCCTTAAAGCCGGTTTTCCACTAGCGATATTTTTCGCGCGAAGATATTTTTCGCGACATTTCGCTATTGTTTTAGAGCTCTCAGCTGCAACCATCTGGAACAAATTGCCCGAAGACAAAGGAATAAATTCGCTTCGCGCGAAAAAAATCGCTAGTGGAAAACCGGCTTAATTATCTCAACCTCAGCACACTTACGCACCCTCATTGTATGAACATTAACTAGCGCACCCTCATTTGTATGAATATTAATTAGCGCACCCTCAACACCCTTACACACCCTCAAAAATCCGGCTCGAAAACCACCTACATTACTACTTTTGATGAACTTTGGACTTCGCTAGTGCGTTCCTTTCCCCGGATGTAAATAACCTGGCGGAATTAGTACCCTAGCCACTGGCTTACGCCCGAAACGTTCGCGCCGTTGGCTTAGGAATTAAAAATGCAGTACGTTCGATTCTTGATAACTTTGGTATCGTTGGTTTTCTTGTTTTCGGCCATATACCAGTGCATTGTCTCACTTTTCTCTTCATTTTGATAGTATTTTGAGCCCAAACTATTTTATTTTGAAGGTTTTAAAGTGCAGTTTTAATAAACGAAATTGTATTGCTGACAAATCGCTCAAAATTATTAAACTAATTAAAAATACATGAAAAAGGGAACATTTTTAGAAAGTTTTATCGCGAGGCCACGGCCAGTTTTTAAAATATCTTCATTTCTTTTCCGGTCATCACCAAAATTACACGGAAGCCGGGCTTGAATATACAACAAATTTTGAATCTCATCAAGTACCAAAATATTTAACGTGTAACCAAAGTATGCTCATGAAATGGAAATTAAGAGCTAACTAGACCCTTCTCGAGGCGGTTTTCATGAAGGAAGTTCACCTTTCGGCCTTTGATTCTTGGCAAAAATTTGACCACAATACGTGCGAAGCAACTGCATGAGTCTCAAAGACTTAGCTAAAACATTGTGAGCCCCTATTTTCCTGAAGATATGTTTGATACCTACAAACGCCGAAAAGGTTTTTCTTTTCATTTAACCATATTTGAAATTGAGGCCACGCGCTATTTTTAAGAAAATACAGTTCAAAGTCAAGCTATTTTTACATATTTTCAAAATTTGTCAAATTTCGCGAGCTTGTATTTTGAAGTCTTTGAACTTAGACCGCTGAAGTTACATTAATTAAGAAACATAGGAAGAAAAATTTCAACTTACGTTTCATTCTCATATCACGTTGTTCTTCGTTTATTATGGTTTTAAGCAAGCCATTAGTTCGACATATACGTAATACAGTATTTGCTTCCATGTTTACGTCGCCATATTCACTTCCTCCAATCACTCGATTGCTAAAGCAATCATCCCAAAACAAAGAATTCATGATCAACTTTTAAAAAAATAACCGTTAAAGCAAAAAATCGTCAGCTAAAACAGCTTCTTGCTAACATAACAGCTTCTTGCCTCACATATCGATTTCGTCCATGAGAAACGTCATATGTTCGTTTCTCTGGAGACTCCCCCACCCCCCCCCC